ACTATAGAATCACCCATTTCCAAGCCAAAGTCACCATTATTTTCAAGTCGCCTAAATCAAGCTTTGGGCTCGAAATTCTAGATGCTAATTCAAGGAGTTTTCTTCCAAATTCAAATAGCCTTATTCGAAGCTTTGTTAGATCCCATGTAATTTTAATCAACTTTTTCTTTCTGAATTTCTAGTAGCCTATTTATGTAAAACCAATATGTAATTTCATTTTTAATCAATCTTTGAATCAAATAAATGTTTGTGAGAAAATTCACACCTTAGTTCTTTCTAAAACCGAATTTCGTAACTTATCAAGAGTCTAATTCGATTCTAGTGGCGTTTGAGTGACTTATCACTCCCTCTCGCACCCTTTCTAGAGTGTGGTGTCCATATCTTTCTAATCCGATTTAGGTTTTAAGGAATTCTTCCATCTTGTTCGTGGGTTCTCTAGCCATCGAGCTAGGCAGTGTTCGTATCGGTTGGTATCAAAGCTTGGCGCTATATCGAGTTCTTTCTTTTTGATATCTTTTATTCTATTTCATGTCTTTGTAGTTTCATTTTAGTCCAAATTGAGTCAATTTTCAATTCAAAAAAAAAAAACAAAAAAAGGAAGGTTGGTTTGATTTGATTCTCGCCCAGTTTGTCTAAAATCGTTGTTTATCTTGTTAAACTAAGTCTAATCTTCTTCTTCAATTCAAAATTTTTATCTTCGAGTTCCAAATCATTGAAAACGTCCTAAGGCTACCAAAAAAGAGTTGGTGTAATATATTCTATCATTAAAGAAAAAAAAAGGCGATAGCAAATCCGTATCATTGGGTTTGAAATTAATAGCTAAAAAGAAAATCTTTGTGTGTGCTTAATTGATTGTGTTTAGCTTGTTTTCATTGTCAAATTTCTTCAAAATCAATAGCTCTAAAGTCTAAATTATTGTGTATCAATTCAGCTCATTAGGACCAAATCTATCAAAAAAATCAGTCTAAAGTCTATTGTTTAGTTATATTGTGATCAATCGGTTCTATCCAAAAATTTGGCTTTATAAATTGAACTCCTCATCATTATTTAAATTCAATCCTATCTAAACTATTCTTTTCTAAAATTTTAGTTTGTATTCTTGTTGTTTAAATTATCCCAATCCATACTTCTTTGGGTATTAAAAAAAAATGTCTTCATCATCATATTCCAAAAAGCAAATTCGACATGATTTGTGGCGACTAGAAATACGAGATATGGAATGACCAATGCCAAAGGATCCATTTGAGGCTCTCCAAATTGAAATCGGACTTAAAAAGATGAATGATTAATCAACTTTTTCTTTCCGAATTTCTAGTAGCCTATTTATGTAAAACCAATATGTAATTTCATTTTTAATCAATCTTTGAATCAAATCAACCTTTACGAGAAAATTCGCACCTTAGTTCTTTTAGAACTAAATTTTAGAACTTATCAAGAGTCTAATTCGATTCTTGTAGCATTTGAGTAACATATCACTACCTTTCTACCCTTCCTATAGTGTGGTGTCCATATCCTTCTAATCTGATTTTGCTTTCCAGGAATTCTTCCTTCTTGTTCGTGGGTTCTTTAGCCATCAAGCTAGGTGGGTTCACATCAATATTTCATTATATAACTATGATGTAAGACCTATTCTATTTGGTAACCATACTCTCTCATCAATACCCTATGACAGTTGTCCTAATTTGGTATTTAGGATCCGTGATATCTATCAATTAGTAATGGAGCGGCATAAAATAATCTCCCTATTCTATTATGGTGGGAATAGCAATTTCAATATTCCCTAATTCGATATGGCTATTAACCTCCATTATAACCCTAACTAGATTTATGAATAGATGGACCATCCAAATATTACGAGGAGCCGATATTAGGGGTCAGCAAGTCATAATGGCATAATGAAGTCTAAGTCACCATTTTATTGGTATATAGTCATTGATCATCCTAAAATAATATTTGATAGATCCAATTATAAAAAACTCACATTGTAGTTGAAAAACTATTGTTTGAACTGTAATTCTAAAGCCACTATAATCACTAGTTAATACAAGGTTCATTAGGTTATATTGCAGAAGGCAACTAATTATCCCTAAATTATATACAACTAAGATAACCTATAAGTTAGAGGTCCCATAAATTTATGGTACATATAGATTAAGAGGTCATGAAATGGAAGGGAAGACTAAGATTGCCTATTCAACTCATCCATACCATAAATAAGGATGGATTTGTTTTAATATAATAACCAGGATCATATTATCTTTGGTTAACCCACTGATCGATAACAATTTGTAATAAAGGAGATCATATTTCATTATATAACTATCATGTAAGACCTATTTTATTTGGTAAATTAACCCCTCGTTCTAGGATAAGCCTATTAATTATAATATATGGTCAAATCTCTATATTATGGATTGATGGTAGAATAGGGCTTATAATCCCTAGTATTAATATAAAAACCCTAGTCTTACCGATGAGCTAATTGGCTCAAAGGTGATTATAAGTCCTATATTGTATCCCGAATAGTATAAGAGATTATTGAGACCGTCCATAAACTCGATATGGATACTAATATAAGGAGATATATAATTATCTTGGGTATATTTTCTCTATTATTATATTATTAATCTAGGTCCATATATGCACAAACAGTGCCCATAATAGGTATTGATTGAAGCATAATATTAGTTAACCTAATATTATGATAATCTCTATCAAGCATATTCCATAACATACTCTAACCAGATCATACAATTGATCGGCCTAGCATTATAGGTTGGTGAAAGCATATCAACTAGGTATAACAATTGTTATCGAGGAGATGTAAAGGTATCATTTATTGGTAGTACAAGTACAATTAGTGTGGTTACTACATAGGATTATGTATATCCCCACTTAGCTATATAGTATCGATCAAAATTAATAGAGGACTAATAGATAACTCCGACAAGTATATATCATACCCTCTCATGTTAATTATCTAAAGCAATAATTATCCCTTTATATTATAAGAGGTTTATCACGGATTAGCACTGGATGAAGGGGGATTCCTAAACTTGCCATCTTAAACTATCATAACTCGTCTATTAGTATTAACATAAAAACCCTAGTCTTGCCGATGAGCTTATTGGCTCAAAGGTGATTATAAGCCCCCATATTACTCCTATATTTGACTAAACTCGTGCAGATATAATGGAGCCAATGTTTTAAAGATATACAGAGTAATGGGTCAATTTGGTTATCATGGGGATTGATTATATTTTGATTGAAATAGTGTACTCTTTATAATATATTAGGACCACACTTAAATGTTCAATACGATAGTGTATAAGTAGATCATAGGATTATAGTTAAGCATTTTCCTATAGTTTGCTCTATTTAGGTATAAGGTTGACCATTTGCTATAAGGTTAATCGAGTGATTCATAATATTGGTTTGTAGGTTAATTAGCCATATAATTAGTGTCCTCTAGAATGGATTAAGGGACATAGTGCTCTTTACACTAAACTAGCCCTAAATGTTAGTGTTTATCAAACATATTAATATGAATATAACATATCAAATGGTGCAATCTATAGATATTTAGCTATAAAGGACACTATAATTGATAAATAGGTCATTATAGGAGGCAATATCAAGACAACCTATATTGATTTTTCAATATGATATATTAATAATAGTAAAGGCAAGGAATTTTTGGATCGATGATAATACCTCATTTCATGTCCTCACATGAGACCCACACTAATCCCCAAATACAGTAGGTCATAATATAGGTCCCCATATGGCCTAGGAAATCAATATGTTAATAAAGGCCTATTCCCGATACCATTATATACTTAAACAATGGGTATTCTTATAGTTATAACTTGATATAATCTCATCAAAATCTCTCATCCATTTAGGAGCTTCTATCAAAAGGATATTATCCCAAGGGCGTAATCCTCTTAAGGTAACCATACTTATAATAAAATTGGGTTATGCTAATTATCATATCTCATATAATTATAAGGATCATCATTACTTTCCTTATTGGCGAGTAATAATTATTTGGAGAGTCATTGGCAATATGATCAATCCCTTTACAATATAAGGGGTATATCATCTATTTCTATGAGTAATGATAGGTCCATAATATAGTTAAATATAATTGACCTTAGTCCATCCTAGAGAATATAATTAACCTTGGTCTCCTCTATTAACAAGATATGAACTTATCATGGGATGCTTATTAGGGGGAACACATATGGCCCTAGGCCATATACCTAGAGGAAGGGTGAATACAGGTATAACATGGAAGATTATGTCCTCATATTTTGACCTAGTAATTTAACCCCACTCTATATGAGCCGGCATATGTTATGAGACCCACAATATATGGCACAAGTATCATAATCTTCAAAGGATACCCTAGGATGAGAGGGATATCAAGGGGTAATCCTTATTATCAATTTATTCATAGTGTTGAGCTTAGATAGAGTGGGAATTTTGTTCATAATGTTGAGCTTAGATAGAGTGAGGTTGAAGGCCTCATAATGACTTGTAAATAAGGATTACACCTAACATTTTATTGACCTCATTCTTAACTAGGATATATATTAGGTTATAAATCTTGGAGGATATTACGGCTTTCTCTATTAGCCATGCAATTATTCTTATCAACCTATAAATCGGCACTCAACCATATATACCCCAAGTCATCATTCTTTTCACTCAAGAATTAGTAGCTATAATTCTAAGGTTAATTATCATAATATTATCAGAGTTATACCAATCACCTATTATGATAATGGAACCTTTTAAATTGGGTGTTTATCTCTAGCTATAATTTACTATCAAAGGACAACATAAAACCTAGAGTATTTCTATAGCCTATTTTATAATATATAAAGAGGGTAATCGAAGAATGCAAGTAGTTACCTATAGTTCTATTAACTATAGTAAAATTGGTATTAACTATAGTTGATTAATATAGCCTAGGCTAAAAAATACGTATCTAGTTTCTAGATTGCATCCACTCCAGATGGCAAAGTATCTAATTGACACTCATGCGAGAGTATTTGGCTATAGAGGGAACTCGGAGTGGGCTATAGATGGTCATAGAAATGCCACAATGGAAGGGAATATATTCTATAAGGGTCGATACATTATATTTACCCCATTTGATGAGTCACCCATTCATATTAGTTTATACTATTATATTTACCCAATACTAATATATAAATGATAGGGTTACAAATTCATTCGAACTTCTATGTCTATTAACCTTTACTTCTTTAGTAATACCCTTCCATTAACTCGGATGGTATAATTATATCATATTAATTCTCTTCCATTTCATGGCTACCCCAATATAAATAGAGGGTATTAAGTCCCTCTATTATGATTATAACGTAATATCGAACATTATTTTATGGGAGACCATGATATAACTATTGGGTCATTTTAGTATTGACTTCTTATTCTCACTCGTTTATCCTTATATCCATATTAAGTCCCTTCCATTTCATGGCTACCCCTATATAAATAGAGGGTATTATGTCCCAAATATAATATGTTAAATATTAAGTCCCTTTATTATGATTATAACGTAATATCGAACATTATTATAATGAACCTATACCCTAATGATTGTTACTCTTGTTCAGCTATAGAAAAATTATACAAAAAAGGCATAACCCTTAATTATGTTGATTAAATAAGATTATATATGGCCAAATTTGTTCCATTAATGAGTGGGGGATTGAGTAAATCTTGGCCATCATAATCTATGATCCCACAAGATAACATTAGTGAAATATTAACCCCAGCTTACCCTAACTAAAGAGGCAAGTATACACTTAATATATGGCTAATTGCTTGAATCCCTATAAGAATTTGCTTATGTTAAAAAATTAATGTTTGTTTTCTATCACTTTGTCTCTAATTAAAAGGATTAGATATCTCTAATAGAGAATAATAGATTAATAGGGGGTTCACAAATTATGGTCTCGGAGTTAATATCTATGTATTTTTATGACCTATTTATCCCGAAAGTGATCTTACCGAATTATTAACAAAGAAAAATTAGATAAGTATAACCGCATTGAATCAAGAAGGAATGCTAAATAGTGACCCAAAGACTATAATATATTTATAAAAGTAATAATCTTATGTCACCAAATATTTAATAGGTTAAATTTTCATCAATGGTTCCATTTCTATTTAGGGATACACCTAACTTAAGTAAATGGTTTAGCTAATCTTATTTTCATCCCAATAAGCTATCATGGATCTCTCCTATACACCTTTATGGAACCTGTTTTATATCAAGATTGTGTCGTAAATCTCTATGAGCCGGTAACAAGGGACAAAGTTAATCATAGAATTCAATTCTCACAAGAATCTATTAACCCTCTTGTTATTATAGTTATTTATAACTAATCCCTCCTTTAATAATATTTGGGTAATACCCCGCCCAATAGTGTAGAAACATTACAATAACTAATTAAGCTTAAAATCTTTCCTATTCCATATATCCCATGGAATAAATCAGATATTCTCTATATTATGAGTATTTAGATATTATCGTTAATCATGATTATTTATTCATAACTTATCCATTCAGGAATAAGTCTATAGTACCATCGATAACCATATGTGGACTCAATGATTTATAACTATCCCTCCTTATAGTAAGACATAAACTCCATTAGATATTGGTTATACCCTATCATTCTTATTTAGGATTTCTAGGCATCGAAGGGACATCCTCGCCAATAAGTCCCTTATAGAAACTTGTGAATTATTCTCTATAACCGATAATAGTACATAGAAATCCTAAATAACGTTATTCGTCATCCACATATGTTCGTATAATAAGGGAGACTATATTTATTCCCATAGAATGTACCTATACATGATAGGATCTAATATAGTTCTATATAACCCATTATAGGAGATTTATATTAATATAATTATGGAGTTATATGTATCGACCTTTAAGTTATAGACTAAGATAGAGGATTACTAATTATTCATCATTATAATATCAAATTAGTCACGACTTTTAATATGGAATGGGGAAAGTAATCTCTTATAGAAATCACTTATGGTGAATTACAATTATCACTAATGACAATGAGGGTCCTACTATAATGTCATTCACCTATCTCATGGTGAAAAATATATTATTCCTCTCATTATTGGGAGTGTCCCTTATTAGCTTATATATTTTTGAAATCAGCCCCTCTCCATTCCCTCTATCTTAATAGCAAACACTCTATTTATAAGTGATCCATCTATAGGAGGACCCAATGGGTAGTTTGGGGTAAACCAAGTCTATAATTATAATACCTACTCAAAGATTAAGGAGAGACCCATCATTGCATGGTATTCTAAAAAAATCAGAATAATTATAAGAATAGATATTCACAGGTGAGAATAGCCTAGGGTTATCCTTTAATATAGATATTTTAAACTCCCTTGTTAGACACATGAGGTGAATGGTATGGATAGGGGTTTATGATTTTAATGGAATATTGTGAAATCTATGAAGTTACCTTATGGTTGTTTCATATCAATTGGGAGGATCTCTTTGGAACCATTGGAAGTAAGTATATTCACTAAAATGACCATATTAAAGTATATATGGCCATTATTCTTGAGATGAGGTAGCATTTCCAATGTGAACGAGGTCATTATAATCGTATTTTAAACAAGCCCTATTTTTATCATTATATCTATTATCACTTAAATATAAGACTATACTTTAACATGTAGATGGCTTATGTATTTCTATAAAATAACAAGGTATGCTATGGGTAACCCTATAGCATTAATCCATTTTCAGTGATAATAGATATTCTTGGACTATTTATATGGAAAAATCCTCGCTCGTGGGCAATTAAATGAAAGGATTAACATATACATCGGGTCTATATCAAGACCAATACTACTTGGTTCCATTTACTTGCCCACTAGTAAAAGGTTATCAATTGCATCCATCTCTATCTCTCCCTCTCCCCCGTAGAACTTATAAAATTGATCCACTATGAAGATATTCCTCTCTCTCCCTCTTTCCACCTATTCGTTATGGTTATATCATGGTATTGTCATAAAAAGTTAGGCCCTCTATAAAATCACTTTAAGTTATCCTATTAATAAATATTATAATATAGTATTATATTATATGTTAATAATCATAATATATGATTAATATATTCAGATATCTTCTATGATTTAAGATTATCAATATTATACAATATCCTCAAAATTCAATACCTATAGTTATTCGTTGTCCGGAGAGAGAATAACTTCGATGAGTCCCTAGTATAGTACCTAATCTTGGGAGATGTTTATTAATTGATGTCAAATTTACAATTGTAGATGCCAATAAAGGAGAAGTATCTTATATGAAGTTACCCTCTCATTAATATAATATTGACCGTGAAGGTAGAGTAATATTTGGAGATTATGGAGTCATATCAAGAGGGGAGGGAGTGGATATCGCTTACCTTCAAGTAATATAATAGGGGAAGATATTATAAGACCATTTTCCGCACATATAGGGAAATAGTAAACTATTGTACATAAAGACGCATTAAATCATTTATCAAAATGAGCGAGAGGCTTCCTCTCCACTATAAAGGCTTTGGAAATAATAGTCCCTTGGGAATAACTAAATAGTCTCCCTATCTCTAATATATACCAAGAGATGTTACGCAATCTTTAATGGAGGTATCTTTATACCTCCATTAAATAATACATCATCGATTAATAACCACTTAATAATTAATATTAGTTTATTCTCATTGTGCATATTATCAAACTCTATCAAACTGATGCGTGTTATCCAAGTTGACTCATAGGTGCTATTTGGTTAGGTATACGACCATTCCTTTAACTATTAACTGCAGGGGAATAACAATAGAATTGAGTTGTCATAGTTGACCCGAAAACTAGGATACCTCTTCCATCAATTTGGGACATTAGTCATAATTAGCCTTCAATTATTCACCATACTTGTTCATTCATATAGGTTGAAAGGTATTACAATCGGATTATCGGGGCTATCTTTATCCACAAATAAGCAAATACCAAAGGTATTGGTTCTAACTCATGCTCTACATGATCCAATAGGTATTAAAGGGGCCTCTCGTTATGGAGGCCATCTTGCTAGGATTCGTTTATTTCCCCGGATATGGATACAATTCTTTCTCCCTAGAGCATACTCTAGTTAACCAATATTATTTAACCTATAGTTGAGTAAGGAGGGAGAGAGTATGAATAATAGATTTTAGAGATATGAATAATAGATTTTAGAGATGACCCATTATGGGAGAGGTAGGGAAAGAGGGTACACACACCTAGAATTACACCACCTTGATTGGAGTGAGGACTTGTAAGCATTTGGAAATAATCCAAATCTATCATAGTTGTTTTGAGGAATATGGATTGGTCACAATAGAGCATGATGGATGCTCGTGTAAATTGATGGGATACTACTTAATTTTCATCCTCTCTCTCCCACCTAATGTTATTCTTTCGGAGATAAATTAATGATAGTATTTGATTTACAACATGCATAGGGGGCCTGCGAGCATGTGCACTCGAGCGACGATCGTAGATTGTAATTTTAACGACTATGTCCACCATCTCTCTCTCACTCACTTGGCTTCCCTCTCCCTATCTCTCAAAGAATGACATCAACGGGCTTTGGAAAGAAGAGGAATAACTCAATTCTCTTTACTCATGTGAATGACTCAAATTTAGGGAGAGTGAGTAGGAAAGATAGGGGATCCGAAGAGGGAAGTGCATGGAAAAATAGATAATATTGGGTAGAGAATCCTTTCTTGGTATTTTAAATAAGATGTTGTAAATTCTAAATAGACATAGATGTGGAGGATCACCATCACATGGTTTATTAGCTACAAATTACTTTACTAATATATATCACATTCATACAAAGAGCTTTATCCAAAGTAACATGCTAGGATTGGTCTACGAGTTGATTGGCCAATACTATAATCGTAAACCATCTTAACGTGAAAATATTGATACTTTGCCCATGAACATAGAGAGTTTATACTTGCCCATGTTCTAGGACCCCAAAATTTGAATAACCTATAGATATTAGTCATACCACGAATGTTATCACAATAATTTTCATGGGCCATCACATTAATCTAGAACGTAAACCACTCCCTCCCTAATTCAATTGTTTGAAATAGAATTGGTCAATTTATCCCTCTCGTCCCCCTATATAAGCCAATTCATTTCTTCTCTCCCATATGAATTTAAAACTAAAATTTGGGTTAAAAATCAATGAGTGCGATTGATGGTTAAAAATATATTAAATTGATATTGCTACAAGTATTATAGGACATAATAAACTGATCAATTAATATTACAATATATTGGATTATCCTATAGTTAAATTGCTTATATAAGGAGATAATTCAGCAATCTTAGGCCTATGTGCAATAAGAGAATCACTCCGCTAGAATAATATTATACTGATCATCATACTAAATAGATTAGCGAGTTATAAATAATAAGTCATTTAGCTTATTGTGACCGGAATTACATCATGATCTAAATATTCCCATAAAATGGATCTACCTTGGTCTAGGAATTTATTGATAATCTTTTAGAGCGAGATATAAGTGAAAGGCCCCTAACCGATAGCAGCGTTAAATAATTAAATGCCAAGGGCTAATCAAAAGTGATATTTGATACTATAAGAGAAAGGAAGGGATACTCTTATTGATCTATAGGTATGTATTATAATATATTACTCTTTCCTAGATTCTCTCTCATAATAACTAAAGAACAATTCACCCATGATGGAAATGTATGATATCATTGGTTTTCCAATTAGTAAGGTACTCTTATTGAATATATTTCTAACCATATTGATATCTTTTGGTATTCTAAGATATCACCTTTTGAATGGGCGAATGACTTGGCTTAAGATTCAAATTGGTTCATCGATTATTTATAGCTTATTACAAATAATACTCCCTAATACTCACTTTCATAAACTCTACCGTGTAGAGGGATATCATTAAATGATTGAGATAGTGGGCATAAACCTTTTGTTCTAATAAGTTACGAGTCAATAAAGGGACTATTAACCAACATCAAACTTGGTCCAAAATATCGATGTTTCAATATTTTAGATAAAATGGGAAATTATTTCCTAATTTCTATTAATATCATATCATTAGGACTATTAAATAACCAATTTATGTTTTCATAACTATTTTCCAATGAATCAAGAAGCCTTTAACCTAATAGGTGGCCATGTTCCCCTCTCTCTATCTCCCTCTTTCTATATTATCTTTCCCTTCTCTTCATGTAATTGTTTGAGAAAGGCCTAAGCTTGGGATTATGCTATTGGGTGATTCCTCTCCCTCTCCCTCTCTCCCTCGATTGGATTATAGAGGCCTCTTCTTCTCCCCCTATAGTTGTCTAAGGTATTATGCCCTTAAAAGTTTGAATTAACCTTTCCTACTATATGTGTAGAAATATTAAATGTTCTAATTTGGTGAAAAACCAATTTATAAAAGAAATCCTAGTGAAGCACTCATACTATAATAGTTTGGGGGACCATTAGATGTAGATTTTTTGGCCAAAATCAGCCCTATAGGGAGGGAGTATATGACTCCCTCCGTTAATAAACGCCAACATACTCTTCATTTCTTATTAATTTCATTGGACCATTAGATGTAAGTACTCCCTCTATTTATAACAAATCTAGCTCGAGTGAAAGAGAGGGGGAAAGAGAGGGGGGAGAGGAGAGAGGAGGAGAGATAGGGAGAGAGTGGTAGAGAGAAATGGGTAGGGAGATAGAGGTCCCCGAATAAGTTATTGAGCTATTGTCTCTTGGACCTCCCCCTCTCTTTGGAAAGGGAAGTCTAAATGTATCACATGTTTTAGAACTTTCTCCATTCTCTAATATGACATTCTTATGTTCCATTAAATCTACTTTATGGAAAAGTAAGACTTAGCATCAATAGTTTGTTGACTATTAGGATAATTTAGAATAACTACAAAACTAGATTTGAATACAAACTTGTAATGCCCATGAAAATCCTTAACCACATAGCTATACGTACTAGAATATTTATATATGTATATGCTAAGTATAGGTGTGATTTATGTGCCATTTTAATATTTTGTGATGTTAATATGCTTTGTGTTTATGTGAGGATTTATGAGATGAACTTCGGGTAACCTAGCTAGTTGTCATTTATTCCCTTTAACATATATTTAGAATGTACCATGAAGAGAGAAAAATTATCTAAAGGTGTGGAGAGTGCCAAAATTTAGGGAATTGCCTAGAAATTAAATGAATGCCGAAATTTTAGGGAGAGAAATGTAACTCCTGTGAAAATTCTTAACCTTATAAATATATATCCTGGAATATCTATAAATATTTATTGGATGTGGGTGTAATTTATGTGACATTTTCTTTAGTATTTTATGATATTAAAATACCTAATGTTCATGGGAGTGTTTATGGGAATAAACTTTTGGGTATTTAGCTAACCATTATTTATTTTCCCGTAACATGTATCTAAAAATGTCATGCAAGTGAAAGAATCACCTAAATATGGTGAAAATGGCAAATTATGGGAACCAAACTACCTTAGAAATTTGGTTAGTTTAGTTACCCATTTTAGTTATATATTGGACACCTAAGCTTCTTCATTCTTCTATTTGGTGACACCTAGCAAGCTTTGACCATTGAACCCGCGACCTTGCTTCCATTTTGTCTCCATCACTTTACAACTTATAACCATAGAATTAAGGAACATGTTATACTAATTAATGAGAATAAGAAAGGTGAAGTATATAAGTGTGACAGAGAGTTAGACTTAGCCATTTTTTTAAGAAAAACCGTAGCTCACTAAAGAAAGAAAGGGGACGGAATTGAGAGGGGAAGAAAATGAAAAAGAAAGAAAAAGAAAGAAAGAAGAAAGGAAAAAAAAGGAAAGCTAGGAAATCTTTAAGAAAGCTTAAATCAAAGTAAGTAGGTTTTATGTTGCATTATGTTATGCCATAAATTTCCTTTATATGTGCTTAAATTAGGTGGTGGTTTAAAGCCTTCTTTTATATTGTTATGTGTTATTCATGTTAGTATTTTGTGTTTGATGGCTTGATGTGAAATTAATGATTGGATTGTATATGTGATGATGAATGATTGGTATGTTTATATATCCATGTGTTGTGTATGCCTAAATATGTTTTGATGGGTTTGGTTAAAACAAATAGGCTTGGACTAAAGTTTGGATGGATTAAACCATGGTGGACATGGACTTGGAAGAATAACTTAGCAAGAAGGAGGAAAGAATTCTTAGAGTATCCTTAAGGAAATCATTCGGCCTAGGTACTACAATGTCCAAAGTTTGGATTTTTTTTTATGTAACTAAAGATCTAGAACTTAATGATAACCCAATTAAGTATAGATTAGTAAGTTAAGATGAAAAGAAAATTACATAGACAAAACAAAATCTGTTGCCACTTTTAGAACCCAGTCGGCCTAAACCCACAAATTTGAGGGTTTGAGTTCCAATCATCCAACTCCATAATTAATGGTCCAATTACACTTGAATCAGTATAAAATGAAGTGTTGCAAGGTAATATTTCAAGAAAAATTGAAATTGGGACCTAGACATATTAGATGCTAAATTCGGCTAGTAAGGCTAAATTTCGAGTTAGGAATGAAATCCCACTTCAAATGCACTCAAATGCGTTCATAGGACTAAAATGTAGGAAGTGATTAACCTTAATGGGTGGGTCTTGTATTCTTTGCATTACTACTATAAAAAATATATGAAATCCCAAGCATGGATTGGATTCCAAGTATGGTATGGAAATGAAGGGTTTGGTACCCATGATTGTTAGAATGTGATAAATGAAACATTATGTGCATCACATGCATTTGGGGGTGGATCGACTTGAGAAAACAATTGAGTCAAGAAATGATGAGGTTTGGTAACTGAATTGGTTTAAAATTAGATAGGTTTGGTAACCTAACTAGATTTCAAATGCACTCAAATGTGTTCCTAGGACTAAAATATAGGAAGTGATTAATGGATGGTTCTTGTATTCTTTACATAAATACTATGAAAAATATATAAAATCCCAAGCGTGGATTAGATTCCGAGTGTGGTATGGAAATGAAGGGTTTGGTACCCATGATTGTTGGAATGTGGTAAATGAAACATCACATACATTATATGCATTTGGGGGTGGATTGACTTGAGAAAACAATTGAGTCGAGAAATCATGAGGTTTGGTAACCGAATTGGTTTGAAATTAGATAGGTTTGGTAACCTAACTGGATTAAATGGGTATTAGCAATGAAGCTATATGCATGCTCTATTAATTGATTTCATAGTTAAGTGATGGATAATTCCGCTAACTGTGTGCTACAACAAGGGATAATTTTGTTACTAGCGAGTAGGTGATTCGACAATCACCGAGAGATGAGAATAGAGTAGATCCGCTAATACCTAGGGTACTTGAACAAAAATTAATGGGGGAAGGCAGAGTAATAAGAAAGCATTGCATCTCACATGCATCACCCTACTTACCGAGCTTCGGGTCATCCTATTGTTATTTCATACCATGACGGGTAAAGGCGATGGTAGTGCTGATAAAGAAGCCATTAGTTCCTCCCGGAAAAAGGCTCATATGTGACTTGAAAAAACATAGAAATCTCTTTTGATTGTAACATAGGGTATAGTTACTAGTAGTGTGTAAATAACACCTTAGATATTTGGTGACTTCTATAATAGTATTCATTAAAGTTGTGTAAATTTTATTGTACGTACTCTATACTAAATATGTTATTATTTATTGGTTATGTATTATGGGAGTAAATCGGGACTTTAGTCTTTAAACTATAACGCACTTAGCCACGCCTCTTAGGTAGTTGGTAAGGGAGTTGGGGTCGCTACAAAACTAACTTAAATTCATTGTAAAAGAAAAAGCTTAATTTCCCCTATAATATCCATCATAATGCCTTGACGTATAGACCAAAATGGTATAAGGGATTGCACATTTAATTAACAATGCTACAACTATTCTTAATATATTGCTCTTAATATTAGGTCCATTTCTATTTTAGCTATTTCTTGACAATGCTATGACTTAGGATATTTAATGATATCACTTATATGCATTAGATTATTAAACATATTTGAATGGGCTTATGTGTGTGAACCATATCCGAAATAGCTAGGCCAATTCTCGATCAACCACTTGAAGGAGAGATGGTCATTTGATATTAAAACAAGTTTGAGTTTGATATTATTAAGAAAGAGCTACTCTCCCTACTACTAATAGGATTATAGCCAAAAATTACATGTTAAGAAATAGTAAATCCTCTCTTATGAGCCTAATGAATAATCAAATGTCTAGAAGTCTTCGCTTGTGATATGGATCCTTTTTCAATGGTATCTCTAATAGTTGATTAAAAATATCCCATAATCCCTATGAGATGGGAAGTTTCCCCCTCGGAACTAAACTATCTCTCACCATCTCTCCCCTATTAAAGGGTTGTTTTTAACCTTTTAGTAAATATAGCCTCAAATCAGCAAAGAGTTGAGAGGTTATATAACGAGATCATGAGCTACAATGATACATTAGGGTATTGAATAATAGTATGATAGGGATTATCTCTCTCCCTCCTTACCCAATAACGTCATAGAACCATATTGATTATAATTGGTATATTAAATAGTTGTAATATTTGTTATTCATTTATTAATAAATTACATGTTTGAATACTAAGTGAATCAATTTGATATTGGATAATATTAAATTACTATAATATTATTCAATTATAATAAGATATTACCTAAATTTATCATAATTATTAGTACGAAGCACTCTCTCTCCAAGATCTAAAATCTATTATATCGGAGCTACTATCCCTACTACTTGTAAACCAATCCAAAAGGAGAAATTTAGAAAGGGGAAATCTTCGGTTTTTATTACGAAGTCAATGTCCATTATTGACAATGCTATGACTTGGGACATTTAACTATAATAGAGAAAGACAAGTGAGACATCAACAAGTTATTTAGTCTAAGGAAAGAGAGATATTCATTGAAAGATTCCCTATTTTTGTGAAGATTATCAAGAATAATACATAAGGATTGGTATTACTCCTCTTAGGGGATATCATTTGATCCTATAGCATATTCCGGAACTTGACACATCCTTTAAATATTTATGGTGAATAGCCACCTTTGTTTCAATAGTTGAGTTCAATTTAATATATTCTTGTTAAAAATATATTAAATTGATATTGCTACAGGTATTATAGGACACAATAAACTGATCAATTAATATTATAATATATTGGATTATCATATAGTTAAATTGCTTATATAAGGAGATAATTCAGCAATCTTAGGCATATGTGCAATAAGAGAATTGATTCACCTCTTCTAAAAGATTATCAATAAATTCTTAGACTAAGGTAGTGCTACTAATGAGATAAAATTGATATATATAGGTTCACCTACTTTGATCGATGACATATTATTTAGACTATCTCTAAAACATCTACCTCTCTCTCTCCCATATATGAAAATATTGGCCTAAGAGAGGTAGGTGGATGACTAAGATACTTTGATCGATGACATATTATTTAGACTATCTCTAAAACATCTACCTCTCTCTTTATCTCATATATGAAAATATTAGCCTAAGAGAGGTAGGTGGATGTTAAGATAAGACATGTCATTCCTTGTATGCTAAAGGAGTTATCACATTGCACTTCGATGAATGTTTACTTCAAAAATCTATGGCCACGGTAGGGGTGCACCAATAAATATTGTATTGGCTATCAATCAAAAGATAATTTTGACTAATCATAGGCCACATTCATCGATTGATGAACATATATATCGTTTGGAGGCATTTAATATCGAAATTTTCCCTCCTCTATCCACTATCTCTCCCTAATAGTTCAATTGCATAGACCTCTCTATCTCATGAACACTCCCTATCTATTTTTCTCTATCCTTAGGTAACTCGCATTGGAATGGGCTAGGGTTAAAAAAACTTAGGCTATACCACACTCAATGGGATTCTTTCCTGCTGAGTGTGTGGAAATATCTTGGAAGAAGTGACATCATTGGAATAAATATACCTTTTACGTTAGCATGGTCATCTTAGCTATTCTCCTTGACCCAATTTGGTCTGCATAGATATTAGAGGATTCACATATTATATTGATTAGTACAATAATATATTCGGCTTATCTTAGACAAGTTCCCTCCTTCAATGAATCCATTCCCCCCAATAATTTATTAAAATGATTATCAATTCATTCAGAATGTGAATTTGAGAGAGTGGCGAGATGATATCTTATAAAATTATTAATAGCCAAGATCATCCCGATTAGTTAGCATCTTATTCACCAATATTTCATTAGTTGAAAAGGAGAAAAAGTTACTAATTAATAAAGACCTTATACATCGAGATGTATATAGGCCTATGTTCACCCAAGCAAAAGGAGAAAATGTTTGTCATATAACCTTTAATGATAGTGGATCATGTTTTGGTTATAAGGCATGAGTCCAAGGCATTAGATAGACATTGTCAATTAATCCATTGGCCCAAATGACACTCTCTCTCACAAGTTAATTGATTAAGACATAGTGAGGGAGATGCCTATTCATGGTTATATTTATAGTTTATCGATATTAGTTTGGATAGCTAACTCATTCTTATTGAGGAGGTAGGGAGAGAGGGAGATACCTATTCATGGTTTTCTCTCCCTCAAAGTTAATTGATCAAGCTATCCTTCTCATCGATTGACTACCTAACACACACGAGATAATAAACACAACACATAAGAATTAATAGACAACACACGCATGGCAACCCCATGTGAACACATAGCTAGTTCTTTTATTTCACATAGATTGGAGCTCATAAGACTTTCTTGGCTAAGGCGGATGTCTAGGGTTAATTATATTTAATAACATTATAGATCTCCCAATATTGATCAAATGATACAACCGACTCAATCGAATGTAGTGAAATAAAAAAAAGATATTAACAGACTTAGTAAATATACTATGTAATATTATTAATCTTAGGGAGCACCAAACTTCCCCTCAATTTGTCAAATAAATCATAAATCCAGATACTTGGATATTTGTTCTCAACTCGTCAACCAAACTATGTCCCCAATATTGGCCTATCAACTTATTTTCCTCCACCTAGTTATCTCCCTAATTCTTACAATTGAGAGAGAGAGAGAGGGAGAGAGAGAGACCAAAGTTTGTCAACCGTTGGTCCGTATCATCCCAAACTAGGAATAAAGCCTATGCAAATGTGTTTCATTAGTATGCCATATATCAATGTGATTGAAGCATGGGTGAATGGTATGGATAAGTTAACCTAGTTTTATGATGGTAATCCTTTGCATTGAATTTTCTTGACTTAGCTTTCATGTAGCAAAGAGTATGGAGTCATAGAAAGTCTTATGATAAAACCATTGTACAACCATTATGTTCACCTTCGGTAGGTTTATAAGATTATCAATTATTATTAAAACAATATCAATTTCTCTACAATATTAATCATTATATATATGATCTTGGATAATAGTAAATTACATTAATATTATTCAAATATAATAAGATATTAACTAAATTTATCATAACTATTAACCAATACATGATAAATTGGTGAAGCATGTTAGGAACATTGGTCAATTTAAACTAATATTAAATAGGAGTATCAAACTTATTAGCCCATTAATAGTTATAATAAATTATCCTTGTTCCAATATTCACATATTCTAGTTAGGCTTTGAGGAATGAAGGAGATAACTAGGTGGAGAGAAATAAGTTGATGGGCCAATATTCATCTCCTTGGTTATCTAATTTTATATAATGCTGGCATACGATTAAAACTCATCGACGTCGACCATGAATTAGGGGTGATTGTGACTAAATAACATCATTTAAACCCTCAAAATCAGCTTTTATTAGATTCGAGATGATGCGGACCAATTATGTTACAATGTTGCAATAGAAAACTTGGTGAGATATCCAAAGTAACATGATTATAAATCAAAGTTTTGAGGAATAAACAATCTTTACTACAACCTTTTATAATTATTAGTTTATAGCTAGATAAATCATATAAAATAAGAACTATTATTTTTAGTAAAGGGAGACCAATTGTTAACGTAGTGAGTTAGGGTCGGTGCATATCCATTGAACTGCTGGAGTTAAATTGCTTAGAATCAATAAATATACAATTAAACTACCTTGATTCACCTATGACATCTTACTTGCAAAAAAAGGGATATAAACTTATGGCAATGGCCCCAAACTCGGATGTATCTTAGGGGAAATATTATACCAATTCTAAGCAAGGTTAATAGCCCCCTTCATTATGTCTTCCTAATTTAATAGGAGGTCCCTATCTCACAACGGGTTGAGAATAGGTAATTTAGGATTATTTTCCTAATATAACCCATATTCAATTCTCACATTAATGGATATAGGGCTAAACCGAACTCTTACCATTATAGTCGATGGAATATCTTCAGTATTGGATTACTCACTAGGCATAATACTTCTATATAATTTACATTATCCAAATAGATATTCTAGGGAGCAATATTAATGGGCCTTAAATCTATAATGTACCATGAGAAATTTTTCCCTTCTAACAATAATAATCCTTATAATAGTATATCATTGATCTAGTTATAATGAGGATCCGTTGTCGCCGTTAAGTTATTAATATATATATATATATATATATATATATATATATATATATCACCTTTTAATATATTAATTCCCCTTAGTATAAATACTCTATTTGTGTGTTACCACAACTTGTTTATCTCCATAATCAAGTTGTAAGGAGAATTGCTAAAGGATTACCATATAGTGTTTGATAGTTGAATGGAGGCAATGCTCAATGTTGTTGTAACATATTAATTTATGTTTGGTATGAGGGAGAAAAAATAACATAATTTTTCCCTTTTTGAGGTAGTATTATATAGGAGAATAATTTTCATAGTATAATTCTTCATGTTCGGAGGAGTATCACCATAATAGGTGAAGATAATATATGAGAGTCGATTACCCAAATGGATAGCCGAATACTATAAGATTTTGATAGATATGTACTATTAGTCTATCAATATATTATAGGTTACCCAAACTCATGAACTATCCTCTTTATAGGCACGGATTCGGTAAAGGATTATACAACTTATAATATGGATATATTTACCAAGTGTTGTAATTTGTCACAATCTTAGATTATTACCAAGTTTACAATAATATTTTTTAATATTCCCATAATTAAGGAGTGCAATTATATATTAAATAATTTGTCCATATTGATTTCAAATTAATATAAGGAGACATAAGATATAAACACTAATAGGTATCTTTCGAGCCAATTCATGCTGAAACTCTATTAATTAATACGCACTGGACATTCGATGGGAGAGTTTCCTTCATGTTTACTTGATATAACACATTATATTCGTGTACCAATCATTTATCTATTAGGAACAGTGAGTAGGTATCCTTTATTCATGGAGTTCCATCAAGTATGCCTATATTTTGTATCAAAGGCCTTTATATGGGATAATGTGTTATATACGTCGGTAGGGCTACCTAGTTTATTAGCTATAGGATTGGTCTAACTTGAGGAGAATAATTCCACCCAAGAAGATATGGTTTAACTTAACCATATAGGGACCCTTTGGTGAGTAGGCCAAGGCCTTATAAAAGTTTTCTTGAGGATAATCTATTATAAATACTTTATAATTCTAACTATATTGACTTTTAATTATAATTGATTAAGGAGATATTACCTTTTCCCATGACCTCTCCCTCACTTACCCTCCCAATATACTAGAATTTACTCTAGTTTAATTTCCTATAACTAAATGGGACATTATCCCACTATGGTTTGTTAATATTACCATGGTATTTTTATATAGGCTCTTAGGTCACAAAGGGAAAAGAAGGGTTATTGAAAAGAGTTAAGATATTTAGTATTAATACTTATTAGTATAGGTGCCCTAGATCCAACCATATACGGATGGGCTTGAGTTAATGTATCATTACATCATTTATTTTAATAATAATAAAGAAGTCATTCCGTTAATTCTTTTATTTACATATTCAATAGAATTAGATAGAAGTCCTTATGATATGCATTTGCAATAGTGATTGATCGAAAGATGTGAGATAAATACTAATGCTCATAAATGATATCATTAAATGTCCCAAGTCATAGCATTGTCAAGAATGGACATTGAAAAATACAAATAGACTTGTGAGTGCTATGCCGATGCTATATGATACAAGTAGGAGATCTCACACCTATTGGCATGGTGATGCCAAAGCAAGCGCTTAGGTGATTTATGTTAGGGAACATGTTATTGGACTTGACTCGTCATGAGAATCCATTTGGTTTTAGTTTATGGAAATCTCATACGAATGGGTAAAAATAGTCCTTAAACATAAAAGTCATCATGGTTATCTCATTGGAGGACTTATGAACTTTGACACTTGTTTCGATGGACCCATTAATGGGTTACACGTGGGTGATTCGTTGGGTGCACTAGGAATCTAATAGAGGTAGGTTTATGGCTAAGATAAGATATGTCATTCTTTATATGTTAAAAGAGTTATCACATTACACTTCGATAAATGTATGCTCAAGAAATCTATAGCCATAGTAGGAATACACCAATAGAGCATAGTTGGTCTACTCTAAGAGCAAAGACATTTAAGAATCAAAGCAAACCTATCCGATCATTATGACACCCCGACCTCGGTCCACCGACTATTACCTAAATAGAAGTGACTAGGCAAGGCGCATCATGCCGACACTACCTAAACCCTAATCATGTCTCGTATGGTGTACTTAAGAAATTAACAACACCTTACATAACAAGACTGCATATAGAAACGTTTACATAGCATAACTAATTACGGTAACAAAATATTACAATTAGCGATTGATTCTATACGGATTCCATACTCCCAAATCACGGATAAAACTTGTTTCAGCTTTCCGTGTTACACATGAGTCTCTTAGGAGGAGCCGATCGCATCCTTACTATTTTGTCCTTTTCTTGTCACATCATAAAAAAATAACGACGAGGTAAGTCGAAGCTCAATAAGTGGGGTAATGAACATGATATGCAATGCTTTTCCGATTCTCACCATACTCATCAATTTTAATTTCGAGTACCCTAGGCATTAGCTAGTCTACTCTATTTTTAATCCACGTGATTATCAAATCACCTTCTGCTACAATGAAATTATCCCTCGTTGTAGCCACTATTAGCGGGAATGCAACATTTAACATTGCAAGCACATAGGTTAGCGTACGCACACGAGTGGACTGCTAATACCCATTTTTCCCGTTAGGTTACCAAACCTAATCATGTAAACCAATTCTCATTCAATTGACTTTTCTCTATTTGCCCCATAATACACATGATGCACGTGATGTTTTGTGTACCATATTAAACATATCCAACCCATACAGGATCGGGTATACTCATACCCTTTATCATCATTGTCTTCTCATTAGAACGAAATACCAACATATGGTATTGGTTGAGTGATGGGTCTAATTACGTGTGTAAATACTTCACTTTTCTTTCATTTAGTAATTTTAGTTGTTAAATCATTGTACACTTGAATTACATAATTCTTAGTATTTACATCAAACTTCAATTAAATTAACGTATACTTTTCTACCTTCATTTTCTATCTATTTGAACCTAATTAATCATTTATTACATTATCTTGGTGAAAGGAATGGAAACCGAACAAGTATGGAACAAAAGGGTGACTTTTAAGTGACTAGTGACTTATATAGGCGTGTACACACCCATGTGAGAGGCCGTATAACTCTTGGATTTAAAGAACACACATTTCTTCATTACACGAGAAAGAACACACTCGTGTGTAAGGTCGTGTAACTTTCTGTCTTGAAGAAAAACACATTTCTTTATTACACGGGCAAGGACATGCCTATGTGGGAGGCCGTGTAACTCTCCGACCTAAAGAAAAACACCTTTCTTCACTACATGAGAAAAGACATGCTCTTGTGAGAGGCCGTGTAACTCTCCGACTTCACGTTTGCTTAAGAAAACCTTAAAATTTCATTTTTCTTTCCTTCCTACATTTTATTCATGCCTAGACAAATTCCAAGTTTGCCCATCATGTCTTAATCAACCACACAACCTAACCAACACAACTAAGCCAACAAGCACCTCATAACCTATACACAAGCTTAATCAATTACAATCACATCAATTGAATGGCATGAAGCATAAAAGAAACTTACTTACATAGATATTCCATAATAACAAACAATCCTATACCAACCAAGCATAACAAGGCCAACACATCAATACAATACAATATAATTGGAAGCTTAAGCAAGTACATCAATTTTCATGGAAGGATCAAATAAATGACATAAACAAAAACCGACTTACCTAGTTTGGATGAGGTTAGGTTCCTTTAGCTTTTCTTCCCTTTTTTCCTTTCTTTTCCTTCCTCTCTTTCCTTCCTCTCTTTTCTCTTTTTCTTTTTCGTTTTTCTTTTACTCACACTTGGTTTTTCTCTCTTTTCTTTCTTTCCTTTGAGTGAGCTATGATTTTGGCTAAAGAAATGATCGGATTTCATCCTTTCCATATATATATACTTTCCCTTTTTCCTTGCATTCAATAGCTATACATGTGGCTTGAATTAATTAGGCAAGGTGGAAAGCAAGTGGTGAGTCATAGGGAAGAGCTAGTGGGTTTGAGTGCAAGTCGGGTGAGTTGGCTTTCTTGCATTTAATGAAATGGCTTAGGTGTCCTAACTAAGGGATTTGACTAATTAAATACCCTAATTAACTTAGCTTCAAGTAATTAACATATTTCCTTCATAGATTTTCATAAATTCCTCCTCTTAACTAGGAATTTCCCTTCCCTTCCATTCGATATTTCCAAGGAAAATATTCCTACATTCCTAAAATGTTATACACACCCCTATTTCCCTTGTATAATAT